ATATTCTTCGCCAGTGGCACATACTTCCCGGCAGATGCTTCTAGCTAAAAGCATTGGAACTGGCTGCCACGACTGTTAGAAATTATTACAATGACTCACAATCCAACCCCGAAAAATTCTGCGCTCTGGATGCTCCGATTGCTGAGTTACGTCAAATTTCACGTATTCATGCGTGAGTGGTAACGCTTTTGCTAAAACACGGTCCAGGCAGTGCTCAAAAACTTTCAACACTCAAGCCGCTCTGGTTGCGGAGTTACATCAAATTTAACGTGTTGCAGAGATACGTCAAATTTCACGTGTTCGTACATGAGTAGCAACGCCAATGCTTTCTTCGCCTGCGGTTGCTCAAACACGGTCCTGGGTAACGCTCAGAAAATTTCAGCATTCCAGCTGCTCTGGTCGCAGGGTTACGTCAAATTTCACGTGCGTACGCGTGAAACGTACGTAAGACGTGAAAGTGACGTGCAAGTCGTTCTTGCGTGCATCTGGTCAAAGGCCATTGTCGGTTATGCTCAGGAAGTCCAGGTCCTTTGGCTGGTTCAATCCTGAAGTTACAGAAGCGCATGCGTGAAATTTTCACGTTTTCGTGCAGAAGAGCTGACAAGTAATTTACTTTCATGGGCACAACAGTAGGCGCCAAGTAACGCAACAAAACTGCAGCTCTCTGCAGCTTATTAGTCAGCTTAAATCCGGAGTTGACATGACGCCAGTTTAAACTTCGACGTGTGCCTACATGAAACCTGGGGGTGCGGAAAGGCTAAATTTGGATTAGACGCGGCCAGGAAACATCTGTGTGAAGTTCCAGCCTTCTAGCATGGGCCGTCACCGAAACGCTTTCCCGTTAAAAAAACTTTCACGTAGCCCTACGTGAGAACCACGCGAACATGAGCTTTCATTTTGAGAAAAAGTACGAGTCCGCATGTATATGTAGAATAAGTCCCCAAATTTTCAGCCTTGTAGCTTTTGTGGATCTCGAGATGAAAACTCGCTACAGACGCTCACACAGACACACATGCATACATACATACATACACACAGACAACCCCTCGACAATGAGCGTTTTTGCATTGCACAGCCACAAAAAACGCATAAAAACGAGAAAAAATACCAAGAACTAGGAAATAATACTGTTTTCAACCGTACATATCATGTAAAAATTCTTCGCATATTATTGCTAATCACGCTATGGTGCTAATCAGGGCTTAGTACCGTAACCTATTTGACCATTCCACCAAAATCAGATATGTGGGCTTGAAAGTTGCGGATTGCTGCAATCCTTAGATCTAACTGTGAAGACTAGCTACGGAAAATGA